ACACCCTCCCGCCGCCGCTCGGAGGTCTTCCAGCCGCGCGCGCCGCCCGGCCCGGCCCGCTGGCCTCCCGCGCCTGCACACGGTTGGGCAGCTTGTGCCAGTTTGTTGCTTCTTCGTGTGAAATTGACGGAGCGAAGGGCTGTGCGGAGTCTGGCCCGGGGCTTCCCGGCAGCTGCAGGTGTCAGGTGTGGAGAGACCGCAGTTCCGCCCCGCAGCTCGGCTCGTGCACTTTGCGCCGCTGATGCTTAGGACGCGGCCTGTGGCACACAGGACCGGCGAGACTGGTGACTCGGAACCACTTTTAAACCTGTAGGGCCTTAGATCTTGACCTGCCACGACATGATGGTGCTACTGCCTAAGACTGCCGTCTGTCGTCGGCTTCATTTCTATTAAGATGTTCACCCCTTCTGCCCATAGAGCTCTTGAAAATCTTGGCTTGCTGGTCTGTGCAAGTTAAGTTAAATATTTACTTTCACATTAAATTCTGAGTGACACTTCCAAACGACGAGAGCGAGAAGACTTGGAGGTTGAATTATAGTCTTTCGTGGCACTATGCTAATAAGCCTTTCTAATCTCTGGGTCTCAGGTTCGCAGGTGTGTAAAAAGGAGGGGCTTGCGGAAGAGCAGTTCTCCCCAGTTTTTTGTTGAGCTGCAGAACCTTCTCTTGGTATAGCTATTTTCACGTAAGAGCTTCATTTTGGTAAAATTTACATACCACATTCAGTGTAGAGTTGTGCAGTCATCACCACAGTCCGCTCTTAGCTTTCCATCACCCCAAGGAGACCCTGTGTTCTTTTCTTCATTTGCGGTCAGTACCCATTTTCAGCCCCGTTAATCTGCTTTGTCTCCCTAGATTTGCCATTTATGATTATTTCATCTCTTCAGATAGGAGGTCGTATGCCATGTGGCCTTTTGTGTCTGGCTTCTTTCACTTACAGTGTTTTCAGGGTCCACCCGTGCTGTAGCTAGCATGTATCAGTAATTCATTCCTTGTTATGACCAGATGATATTCCGTTGTATGAGTAGCCTACATTTTTAAAAAAATCATCATATAGAACTTTTTTGGGGGGTGTTTTGAGACAGGGTTTCTCTACATAGTCCAGGCTGTCCTCGAACTGACTATGTAGCCCAGGCTGGCCTGGAACTCTAGCGATCCTTCTGCCTCAGCCTCTCTAGTGCTGGGATAACAAGCATGCACCACCAAGACCAACATGCAGAACGCTTTTTGTAAATAAAATTTTATTTTATGCTCCTGTGTGTGACCTATGACAGCAGCTGTTCATCAGGGCCCCCAAGTCTACTGCACCCCTTTTCTGCAAAAAGTGGAAATTCTAATGCAGGGCTGGCAAGATCTTTGAATCACCTAGGAATGAATGGGTATCTATTCTAATCAAGAGATTTGTATCATTCGTTGCAAATTCGTGTTCTTTGGGTTTTCTATCAACCCATGATAGACAGTTCTTGGACTGCCTTTTTATTTGCAGGGCAGCCACCACAAGTGTCGCAAATAATTAGAATAACAAAACTAGGAAGACTGAAAGCAGAGGTGAATTGTGCATTTCCCATTAGTGTTTTTAGTGGGCCCCTCCCCCTCTGTCTCTCTCTGTCTCTGTCTCTCTCTCTCTTTCTGTCTTTCTCTCATGACCACTCTTACTTTTGGAAAACTGAAATACTAAGAACAGGATGTTTGACCTTCCTTTCCATGTTTAGGGTGGGGACAGAGATTAAAGACAGCATGGTCACTTTCATTGTTTTCCTTTGAGTCAGGTTGAAGTGATTAAAAAAAGAAATGGATTTCTGTTTCCTTGTAGCCTAATCCGTTTTGATGTGTTGTAGAAATCCATCAAGTATATTAATTTTGACAATGTTCTGTTTGCTTAAGGAAACTAATTTAAGGTGTGGGAGGTAGGAAGTTTGGCCGTGCCTACTGGGGCCGTTCGTTCTAGATGGCCACAGGACAAGAGAAGACTGCTGGGAGCCAAGAGCAAATATGTGAAAGAGGAGGCAGTGAGACGCTGTAGACAAGGGTGCTCTATTGACACATTAGGCTAAAGAACTTTTTTTAAAAATACAGTACTAACTGATGGCCAGAATGTGCCACAAGAAATGGTTCAATCAGGCTTAAGAATACACCTTTATTTTAACATAGTGTGTTCTGGCATTACTTAATTGTTAGCCTGTTAAACGGTGGTAATACAGTCAGCTATGCAATTAGTTATGAAAGTGGTCGTTTCTCAAGCAGCTTTTAATTAAACTGGATAGTACCCTTTGCTATTTAAATACAGTTCAGTCTTTGGAGTTATTTCTGTGAAACTGGTTTATTAAAAAGCAAGGTATAACTGCATAGTTAGATGATTATCGTGTGATACAAGTAATTTCCTCTCACCTGAATTATGTTTTTAAATTATTTTTAAGGAAATAATTTCAGATGTATTTAAGTTACACCCAGGAGTATAATCTTTGTGATATTCTTCCGTTATGCAAATTATAAGTTTTAGAACTGCAAGGAATGTTAGCTGTCAGCTAGACTAGTTGTTTGCCCAAATAATGTATTTCCTCTACTTTGTCTCCTTTTCTCACATCTTATTCCTGGACACATACCATTTAAAGTGTGTCTTTTATTTAGTATTTGATGTCAAATTTATTTTTTTATTACACCTGTATCAGAGGTATAGGCATACTCATGGAAAATCCATAGGTGGAAATACTATCTTTTAGGGTATGCTTTTTCGGGGAAGACAACTCAGGTCTTCCACATAAAGAATTCATGGAAATTAAATCTAGTCAATACTCAGTGGGGCTGGTAACAGCCTACGTAAAAGTCCTGAGAGTAAGTGATAATACAAGTGATAACCCTTTCTGTAATGAACGAGCTAGGAGTGTAATGTTCTCAAAGGGTATCATTTCTGTTTTTGTTTGTTTGTTTGTTTGGTGGTGTTACAGATTGAACCCAGAGCCTTTGCACTGAGCTATATCCCCAACTCTATTATCTTTCCATTTTGAGGCAGAGTCTAAGTTGCCCAGGCAGGATTTGAACCTGTGATCCTACTGCCTTAGTCTCCCAATGTATTTGCTGGGATTATAGGTATGTGCCACCACACCTGGCTTGGAGACAGATTTTTTTCATTGAGAACAATTCCTTGGAGATAGATCTCTGTTAAGGTCACTATCTGTACACAAATAGTAAACCTGAATTTTTATGCCACTGTTTTACGAGAAATTGTGATTTTTTAAAATTTTATTTTAAAAGGTTTATGAAAGCATTTAAACAACATGTTTAATTATAAAAGTAACATGCTCTTAGTGAAAACGTAAATAAAATAGAATAAAAAAGAAACTAATTATTTGTGATTATCCTTTTATAAGGTGGGACCACTTACCTTTTGGTAATTTTTTACCTGGGTACTACACATTTTTAAAAAATCAAAATTTGGGTCATACTGTATATGAACTATTTTATTTAATATTTCATTGGCATTTTTACTTATATTCCAATTGCTGATGTAAGAGTGGCTTAAACCCGCATGGATTTCCTGTCTAGAGGACTAGACAGTCTAGAGGTCAGAAGTCCAAAATCAGTCTCGCTGGGCAAAGTCAAGGTGCTGTCAGGGTGCTGTGAAGGCTGCTCCTCTGAAGGCTCTGCGGAAGCAACCTGTGCCTGTCCTTTCCTTCTTAGTGTCTTGAGGCCACCTCGTGTGTTGGCTCCTGGCTTCCTCCTCACTCCAGGCCGTGCAGCCGCTTCTCACCACCCACTGTGGTATCCGCGTATAACACACCTCCCTCACCTGGACAGTAGGGAAGCCTCAGTGTCCTGAGTGTGGTCGTCCCTGCAGAGTTTCTTGTAAAGTCCATGTAAAGTAATATCCACACCTAGGGATGCGGATGTGGACACTTTTTGGGGGACCATTATTCAGCCCAGCATAGAAACAGTTTGAAATTTCTGCATGGCATTTTCTAGTATAGATGAACCCTAGTTATTCTGCCTGCCCCCTACTCTTGCACACTTTGATGGTTTCTGATTTTTCCCAGTTATAATCTTTAGTACATATCTTAGGAGATAAATCATTGCATGCTTTTTTTTTTTTTTTTTTTGTCTGTCTGTTTGAGACAGGGTCTCGCCATGTAGTTCAGGCTGTCCTTGAGCTCACTTTGTAGCCCAGGCTGGTCTCAAACTCAC